GTACCACCAATCATATGACAAGAGCCTATCTCAATCAACCAAATCAATTTATTGAAACTCACCATAAACACATTGTTATTGCCAATGGTGAAAAGTTGGACATTATTGGTAGTAATGACTTATCCCTTAAACTGTCACCAATTATGTCCTTCCCTCTTTCAAAAACCCTCTTAGTGCCCAACCTTACTACTAATCTGATTTCTGCTAGCCGACTTGTTGATGAAGGAAATGTTCTCACCTTTTCTCATGATGGTTGCTTGATACAGGACCAGTACACTAGGAAGGTGAAAGGGAAGGGGCATAGGTTGGGTCGTCTATTTGTGCTGGAGTTCAAAAAATCCCAACCGACAGCATCCTTAGCTTATCTTAGTTCCTCTATGTCTAGTTCTTTGTTGAGTCATAGAAATAATGTTTGGGATTTATAGCACAAACGATTAGGTCATCCATATTCTCAAAAATTGAAGTTTTTGTTTGATTCTAGTTTAATTAAGAATAAAATTCCTCATGTTCATACTTTTGATGTTTCTTGTACTGTCTGTTGAATGGTTTTCAAAACCGGACCGGACCGGATGGTCGGATCAGAAAAACCGGGAATCGGTTTTCAAAACCGGACCTAACTGGTTCCGTTTTTCCTCAAAACAGCTTTTTTCCCAAAACCATTGATTTTGGTCAGCAAACTGCTGAACCGACCGGTTAGCCATTCAAACCGTTCGAACGGTTTTGACCGTTCTTCAATTTTTTTATTTTTTTTTATCAGAACAGCGGACCGTTTGACCCGGTAACCGAACCCCTTACCGGTTTGGTCACCGAGTCGATTTTAAAAACCATGGTCTGTTGCTTGAGTAAAAGTCATATTTTACCTTTTCTTCACACTTCTGAGCATGCCACTACACCTTTGGAGATTATACATAATGATGTTTGGTCTGCTTCTATTACTTCACGATTGGGATACAAATACTTTGTATTGTTTATAGATGACTGTACTGGATACACTTGGATTTATTTTCTATGGCACAAATCATAGGTCTTTGTGACATTTAAATTATTCCATACTATGGTGTGAGCTCGCTTCAAGTGTAATGTGAGCATCCTCCATTCAGATTCAGGGGGAGAATATAGAGATGGAGCCTTTTTGGCCTACTTGGGAGTTATGGAATCCAATCTCAGCGCAGTTTTCCAGACACTCCTCAACAAAATGGTGTAGTTGAACGTAAGAATGGACATATCCTTTGTGTTGTGTAGACATTACTATAGGAATTTCATGCTTTGACTTTGTTTTGGGTAGAAGCAGTCAGTATAGCTGTGTATTTGATCAACTATCTTCCTTCTTTTGTTCTTGGCAACACTTCTCCCTTTTAAAAACTTTTTGGTTGTTCCCCAGACTTCTCCAACTTTCATGTTTTTGATTGTCTTTGTTTTTTACATCTTCCTGTTCATGAACATTCCAAATTAATTACTCAGTTTGTTGTGTGTGCCTTTGTGGGATATAGTCCTGACCACAAAGGATTCTTGTGTTATGACCTTGCTATTCATCGTATTCGGATTTCATTGAATGTTGTGTTTCTTGAACATATTTCCTTCTTTTCTGGAATTGCTAGATTGTTTGCTCCTTCTATCTCTATTTTGCAAGACTTTGATTCAGATAACACTCATACATCCTCTGTTGAGAAAGATTTTCTCGTCTTCACTCGTAAGCAGCCACGTCTCAAATCCTGTGCCTACTACCCCCTCTTCCACCTGGTCCAAAGCATCCTCCTCCTACACCTTCTGTAAGTGACATTTTGCCCCGAGATCCTCTTGTTTCACATGGTAGTTCTCATATTCCACTTCGTCGCTCTACTCGTATTTCTTGGCCTCCTGACCATTATAGTTTTCTTTCAAGCCATAGCTCTTTTTCTATTGTACTTTTTTCATCAGATATTCCTCGTTCTTATTAGCAAGCCATTAGGAGTCATCATTGGAAAGAAGCCATGGATGTCGAGATTCAAGCCCTCCATGAGAATGATACTTGAGATCTTGTGGCTGCTTCTCCAGATGCTCCATTATTGGGAGTCGTTGGGTCTACACGATCAAACTAAAATCAGATGGTTCCCTTGATTGATATAAGGCCCGGTTAGTTGCCCAAGGATACAATCAAGAATATGGGATTAATTATGAAGAAACATTTGCCCCAATTGCTAAGATCACCACAGTTCGCGTTCTTCTAGCCTTGTTTGCTGTCCATTCCTAGGCTATTTACCAATTGGACGTGAAGAATGCTTTTCTTCATGGTCAACTGAAGGAGACAGTCTACATGAAGCCTCTTAGATATTGTAGTGATTCTTCACGTGTCTGTCGCCTAAAGAAATCCCTGTATGGTCCGAAGCAAGCACCTTGGGTTTGGTTTGAGCGTTTTCTAGATGTTGTTATTACGACTGGGTATAGCCAAAGTTCCTCTGATTATTCTCTCTTTGTTAGGACAAGGCCCTTGGATATTATTATTCTACTGTTGTATGTTGATGACATGCTTTTAACTGGGGATGATCATGACGACATTTGTGAGTTGAAATCCTTACTTCATTACTCCTTTCACATGAAGGACTTGGGCCCTCTTACTTATTTCTTGGGTTTGGAAGTCTATCATAGCAGTTGGGGGTATTTCATTTGTCAGTAGAAATATGCCTCTGATCTTGCCAAATGTAGACGTTCAAGACTGCTATCAGCCTTGAACCCTAATAGATTTCAGGTTCGAAAGAGAAGGAAAATGTAGAGAAGAGAAGAGGAAGAGAAGAGGAAGAGAAGAGAGAACTGTAGAACACAAAGGGTTGAAAGGAGGGACAGAATCTGAAAAAAATGTTCTGCCGCCGCCACTTCTATTTAGTATTTATAGGTTATGCTCATTACATGGAAAGGACAGATCTGCCCTTAGTATTTACATAACAAATAGAACAAAATAAAACTNTCATTACATGGAAAGGACAGATCTGCCCTTAGTATTTACATAACAAATAGAACAAAATAAAACTGAAATAAATAACAACTGAAATAACCGACTGACCACCAGCTAACCCTAGGATGACTAGAACACATTCTACCCTACGAACACAGTGGGACCATAGCTGTGGGGCCCACATCAGTGTTCTCTACACCAAATTAACTGGAATTATTGATGGGAACACGTTGATACCCCTCTGAAGTTGAACGTCAAATTGTCTAAATCTGAAGGCCTAGTTCTTCTTGATGCTACTTTGTATCGTCATCTTGTTGGATCTCTGATCTATCTCACTATGACTTGGCTTGATACTTCACATGTTGTTTAGGTTATCAGTTAGTTTGTTTCTACCCCTCGTCAACCTCATATGACTGCAGTTCGTCGCATCATCTGTTATGTTAGAGACACAATTTCTCAAGGACTGTTTTTCTCCTCCTCATCACCCATACAATTGAGAGTTTATGCTGATGCAGACTGGGCTGGTTGTCTTGACATTTGTTGATCCACTACTAGGTGGTCCGTCTTCATGGGTGATTCTCTCATCTCCTGGAAGTGTAAGAAACAACAAATTGTCTCTAAGTCTTCTACTGAAGCTGAGTATAGAGCCATGTCTTCTGCTTGTAGTGAGATAATTTGGTTAAAGTCTCTCTTCATGGATCTTGGTACTCAACTTCTTACTCTTACCCCTATATATGTAGACAACACAAGTGCTATCAAGATTGCATCTAGTCTTGTGTTCTATGAGAGGACTAAACATATCGAGGTGGACTATCACTTTATTAGAGATCTTTTCATTGCTGGCTCTATATCCCTTCCTCATGTAGCCTTTGACATGCAGATTGCTGACTTCTTCACCAAGGCCATGACTAAGGGCAAACTGATGCTGATGTCTATGCATCATTTTGAGGGGGAGTGTGGAGATATATCTTGATGTATATTATCAATATAGTCTCTGTTGTACAACACTTATTGTTTTATTTGTTCTTTTTTTATCTTTCAGCCCTATAAGGGCATTCTTGTAACTGTACATATCTTTTAATATAAAAGGGGCTCTTTGGGGTGGGGGTTGACTATTCAAGACACCCCTGAATCTGTTCTTCTTTGCTCTGAGTTCTGTTCACAATAAAAAGCTCCCAATCAGGGGTTTGTGTGTCTGTATGTGTTTAAAAAAGGGTTTGTACTTTTTACCACCAGTTTGGAGGCATTAATTGGTCTGATGGTGAACTCTCCTGCTGTCAAGTGTGTGAACATGGATTTGAGTCTGAGAGTGGCCACTTTGTGCAAAAAAATGCCAATGGTCCACTCCTCCCAAGGCCCCAAATAGCTAGGAACAACATTAGGTAATAGTCTTCTTTTACTTTTTATAACTAGTTAATGGGACCAAGAAAGTTTAGTTAGTCAATAACAATGGTTGGTTGCAATAGCGTGTGCTACTACAAGTGCAACAACAATTTGGTGAATGGTTTGGCCATGTACAATGAAAGCAACTTTTTCAGTGAAACCAGAAGATTTGGATGAAGATAAAAGAAAGGAGAACACAATATCTGGTTTTGATTCTATGTATATAAACAAAGTTGTTGTCCTATATATTCTCTATGGCTTCTCCCAAACTGGAAAGGGTGCACTTTTACTTTGGCAATTTTGAGGATAAATGCCAAATATTAATAGATTTTAAGTTCTTCATTGGATCTCTATAAAATAGAATCCAGTTGACATAACTGGATCTGAAAAAAGAAAAAAGAAAACATAGAAGAAAGATAAGGCATGACAGAGGATTGTAAGCTGTAGAGAATATTGCAAGATAGAAAAAAGTTCACAAAGAAATAACCCCCCTCCATTGTTCAGTGACTTTCAATCCTGCATTCATGAATCATGACTTCATTGCCCTTTGACACTCATCTTCTATATGGGGGAATGAACTGTAAGCAAGGGAAACTAATTTTATTTGCCAATTTTTTTTTCAGTCTTTTTCTTAATGTCATTATGTGTGACTATTTTTAAACAAACAATTTTTTTTCTCCCTTTGCAGGCCATGGATTGTTACTGAAGGCAGGCATGGAAATTCAAGATCAACATTTGGGGCCTCAATGCCAAAAACCGAGGTTAGTTTTCAAGCATTGTGACAAATATATGTTGCAATATTCTTTAGCTATTACAAGGTTGTAGTACAGTCATGGTGCCACATTATCCTAGATTTCCTCTATAGTGTTATGGATGGAAAAGCTCTTTGTCCACCAAAATATGTTTCTTAGCATCCACAACACTGTTGCTGATTTTTTTTTTTGAAAAGTAAAAAGAAAATTAATTAAACAGAAAAAGATAGATACAATCCGATAGGTGACAAGATGGCACCTAGTTTTACAAAACAAAACAACTCTGATCTAAAAAGCAAAGACTGAAACAAAAACTGAAACAGATTACAAAGGCTGAATTTCAATCACATTCCAGAAGTTCTCCCCCTAACTGATCTACTGACTTGATCAAAATCTGGAAGCACCCAAACCCAATCTGCTACTAGTTTTGCCACCAGAGCCACTAGCTTATACCCTGAAAAAGATGCATGCTCTGGCCATAAAATGTTTTGCTCTGTGATCAATCATCTAGCAAGTTTGATGGTACTAGCTAGCTTGTGGGTAATGTGTGTAAGCTGGTTGTGGTGAAGATTTGGGATCAAATCCCACCTTCACCTTGGTTTGGGGGGTATTCTGGTGGTTCAACTCCATAGGGTACAGTCTGAGTATACTTTTATGTTTACATTGATGATGTTTTGCTTTCTTGAACTTGTTATTTTTCTACAATGTTGGTGAGGTATGGTATTATCTTTTGATAAGTACTATTAATCCTTCATTTTATTTGTTTATTACGTATTGGGTAATTTTATGCAGAACAAATCATGGAATACTACTGGAAACATTGCCAGCAATATAAAGGTTGTACCATATGGTACCAAAGAATACAAAATAGGTATGCAGTTAAGGGATAATTTTATGGTGTTTACAAATCATCTACGTGGACTTCACAAAACTCTAGAATTGGAAGAAAGGAAGATCTTGCAATCATAACTTACAGTTTTGTTAACCAAAGGATAAAATGCTAAAGTTAGGCAAAGATTGCATCGAGGCCAATACCCCATTCAGGATGCTTGTGATAGACTTGCGGTGTACATACAAGTATGCATTGTATACACAGCAATAGTTTGAAGTTATAAGGCTATGATTTTGGTTGCAACTTTAGTGCTCTTTAAAGCACCTTTAATTTGGTTAGTCTGTGAGAACATCTTTTAAAAGCAAAAAGAAGTGAATATACTGGGCCAGTCTGAAACCAAACTAATGATATCTCTGGGTTAGGTTAGATTAGGGTTATGATAGGAAGTTCAACACCTTGGGTTCGACTAAGGTTGCCCTTAACCGAACCTAACCCAGCCTGCATTGCACCTTTAGATGCATCAACTCCAAGGTGTTTTATCAGGATTCACCCAGATATGAGTAGGAGATGGAGTTTGAGACCTTGCTCATGTTTACCATGATGCCATCCTAGCAATGCTTGCGTTTGTTCAAGGTTTCAACCTATTAACAGAAACCCTCTTTTGTTTTTGGCCAAAGGTTAGAAAATTTGGGTTTATGTCCAGATGGTGTCCACCTTGCATGATGTTTTGATTTTATTTTCACACTGGCGGGTTTGTGTTTCATTGGATTCGCAAGGGGGTGATGCAACGACAGTAGTACCAATTCAGTAGATGTGTTACTTGAGGTCACGATTGGTACTGTGGGTATTTCTACTTGTCAATTTTCTGTTTGTTTGATATTGTTTTGAATTAATAACAAATATGTTTCTACTAGAAATAAATATAAACTAGGGAATGCTACTGGGGGCAGCCACCTATGTGAAGAAACGGTTCACCGACCTGGGTCTTAGTTGATGTTTCAGTCTTTCAGATGCACGGGCTGTGAAGTCGGTGTGAGGCGCGCTCTGTCAATAGCAGATCCGAACTCAATGCCAACACACAATACTTGTTCGACACCTGGTAAGCATAAGTACCAATCAAACAAGTTTTTTTTTGGCTTGGCGTTTTGACATGAAATGCCATCGAATTCTGTAAATGTTTTGAGCCTAAAATGACAATTGTACTAAATGCAACCTTATTTGCCCCATGCTTTCAAGTACAGGGTGGTAAATAATCGGGTGGCTAGCATCTTACTCGTAAAAACGGACAAAGTAATTTAATTCAGATTAAAATCTCACCCCATTGCTTTTATTAGCAAATCAAATTTGATTTTGCTTTCCAACTCATAAAATTCCCAACGCAAAGGGCTTTCAATAGGTTACATTGATGTGTGTCCCAATTTTTTTTAGACAAAATGGGTTGTTAATTATAAATTAAATCTAAATGTGTTAAATTAAAGCCAATTTTAAATTTATGACGTAGATGGTGGGTCCCAAACAAAACAGGTAGGTATGGTTGCCCTCCATTGGATATGAGGTGATCGTTAGATAAATCCTGCTCAAATGGCCTGACCAAAATTGAGACGGTGCATGGGCGGTCTGAAGTGAACCACATAGTGGATCCAATAGTTCAATACAATTCGGATGTGGACCTGGATTCTGTCTAGGCCGTCCAGGAGTAATCCGTCTGAGATCTTGTAACCAAAACGGACTGAAATTTTGGTAACTGGACGAGAAACAAAGTCACGCATAGAGAACGAGATTGTCAAAGTTTTGTTCTGATATGTTGATACGAATGATCATGATTTGTAAGGTGATAGGTTCTACCCTAATAGGTTTAACCTCTCCCAAGATAAAATCACCATTCACACACAAATATAAATATGTGATGAGAAAACTCCCCTAACCAAATGGTAAAAGAACCTTTTATATGATACTGGAAATGCTTAAACCCCCGTGAATTTTGATGAAAAATTCACCTAAATGATTGGTAAAAAAATTTTTTAGTATCATGTCTTTCTGACATCATAGTCAAACTCATAATTTAAATTCTAATAATCGATAATATCCTTAGATACAGTATACCAACTAAATATTGGTGTGCCTACTATGTGTAACTAATGCATCCATTACCCAAAAAGTAAAACACCAAAAGAGATCTTATTCATCATCCTATGTTATTTGGATTCGGACTAGACAGGATAGTAGACCCACCAAAGCTAGGATGGACGGTTAAAATGTTTGTCTTTTTTCATGATTATTAAAAAATATTGATTTGATTATAAGGTTGCATTTGGAAATAATGCAAATATATAGTAAAATGGTCCATATAAATTGTAAAATTATGTTAATGTTGCATTGACAAATTTACTTTCTAGCCAAATATACTTTTAGCCGTAATGGATGCAAACACAAATTTTAATAAAGCATATGCTTTTTTTTATCAAAAGCCCAGTTGAATGCAAATTTTTTTTTTTTTTATCGATGCACTTTTACATCTTATTATCAATGCAAATATGCATTGAAAAATGTGTTTTCTTTCATTTGTCAATGCATAAATGTGATGTTGTCAAACAATGGCGAAAGTGAACCAGAGTGCAAATTTACTCTTGACTAGGATTTATACTCCATTTGCATCGTTTCCAAACACAGCCTAAGGTTTAAAATATTATGAACATATTGTATCAATTTTAGAAGTTAGATTCACCTCATTTGCATGTGTTGATATGTATCATGCCCTTCAATATTTATTGTTGTAAGCTTATTTGTAATTTCTTTTATCTTTTATTTTCTCCACATTTTTAATTTTATGAATCCAACATTAATTTAATTCGATTATTCAACTATTCAACTATTCGACCCATGACCCAGTCACCAAAATGTTTCTTTATTTTGTAGGACTCAATATTGTATTCACTGACAGCCAAATGTGAAAAATAAATTTGTAATGGGATGGCATTTCTAGATTCATGAAAATTTAAGGGGTCATATGATTGCATTGAGTTGATTCAACAAGGGGCATCCAAAAAAGAAAATGTGGCACGCCAACATATGTAATGAGAGAGAGAGAGAGAGAATTTTAAGTTTTCTTAGCCACCAGCACTCTGTTTTGCAGTTTTGCAACAGTAACAACCTGAACCTATGGATTCCAGCATTGCCTTCATCAATGGCATTCTGTCTGTCAACTTCATGGAACATTCTGTAAACATTTCTAAAACCCCAAGCCACCCTTATATAACTTCATGAGGCCATTTGCCCTTTTCACTTAGTTTTTTCGTTTGCTTCTAAAATCTCAACTCTTATTTGCCTCTCTCAACTTTCTTAAGTTTATATTGAAAACACCTTGGGAATTATAGGTTCTTTATTGCCTTGATTTGTGCTTTAATATGGTTGCTTTAATCATTTTGATATTTGTTGGTGTCAGTACTAGATTCTTGAATGGGCAATTTGACAATTTTACTTTCACCATCAACACCATTAGTGGGTTAGGGATAGGGGTGAGATAGAAAAACCGAAAAATGAACTAAACTGAAAAACTAAATGAAACCAAACAAAAAATCTGGTTAATTGAACCAGCCGTTTTGGTACTTTTGTAAAACCGAAGGTACCAATTCAGTTTTGGTTTACCAATATAGAAATTTCGGTGGTTAACCGAATCGATCGGTATATATATATTTCTATATATTTTATGTATATTTATATATAATATATTTTTTATTTTTTTATATATTATAAATTAATAAATATGTAATATATAAATATATATACTTATAATATATAATATATTATTTATTATTTAAAATATGATATTTTATATATTTATAGTTTTAATTATATATTTATATATTTTTTATAATATATTGTAAATATAAAAAAACTAAAAAACCGACGAACCGAACTAACAGTTAAACGAATAGGTCAATTGGTTAATCAATGGGCTTCGATTTGGTTATGGTTACCAATTTTTTAGAAATTGGTCATACCAGTTTGGTTTCAAAATTAGGACCACGGTTTGGTTAACCAAACCGTGAGCACCCTTAGTTAGGGAGCAAAGTTAAAATCTAAAAATTCAGAGGCTCTTTGTCCCAAAACAAAATTCAAGGGCCTAGATGTAATGGGAAAGGAGTAGCTATATATATCCGATACACGAAACATACAAAATCTATATGTTTCGTGTATTTTCATTAGTATCGGTCTGATACGAGCCTGTATCAATCGATACAATCTCGATACAGTTTAATACACTGTATGTATCGACCGATACAACTCAAAATTCAAATTCGAGTTTAATGATCTTAATTCAAATTTATTTTCCCTCTTTCTCTCTTAATATTAGTAACTTTTCAAATTCAAATTTAATGACTCTTAATTAATTATCACATTTAATAACACACTATTAAAGGCAAATTGAATAGTGCATTTAAGGCAATATTCAAATTCGAATTTGAATTTAACATGCCACTGACTTGCCTATTACAAATCACAAATAAAGGACAAAGGGATTTGAACCCTAGTCATTTGGTTGTAACAATTACAAGTCCACCACTAGATGACTACCAATAAAAGCTAAAATCCATCATTAAAATATATAATAAATATCAATATTTAGAGAATCGGGCCAGACATCAACCCCAAAAAGGGAGAGGTTTATAGGTTAGAGGTTCAATCAAGGTCAAATTGTGATGACATAATATATTATATATATTATAATATACATTATATATTATATAATATATATTATTATACCTATATACAATATTATAAATTATATATTGGATTCTAATATATTCAAATTATATAATTGTATTCTTTTATAATATATATTTTTTATTTTAATTTCAATTTTTTATAAGGCACCTATATTGAAAAGTTACCTAAAGTAAAAACCAGGATTGATTCCCTAGTTTTTGAGTTTGATTAGTCGGGTCGGCAATTTGGCAAATTGCTAACCCAATCTAGTCATGTTCCAATCGGTCCTATTTTCTAAAAATGGTAAATATTAATACAAATTATATCAATTCTTTAAATACTAGGGTATGTATGCATACACAAACATTTTAATTATTTCATCATTTTTCAATAATTTCCAGTCAAGTTTCAATATTTCACACTTTGTATAAATCACTGAAATATGGATTTTTATGTTTAAATAGCTTATTTATAGTGATATAAAACTCATATTTATTGTAATTAACAAAGGTTTTTTAAGATTTATATGATTTTCTCAATGTATCCATGTGTATCTTAATTTTCCGTCCTTATCCATGCGTATCTTAAGCATATCTCAATATGTTTCTTAAAGTTGTCTCTTCGATACACATTGCGTTTCCTATACTTTAAACCTTGATATATATATATATATAGGCCATATATTTTTTATTATAAAAAGAGAATTTTACAATGATATCCGACCATGGCCTATATATATATAGGCCATGCATTTTTTATTATATAGGCCAAGTACATTATGGATCTTACCTGAAATTGTTGCTTGTGATGTTGTGTATAATCAGCTATATAACCAATCATAAAGTGAATACATCAATATTTCAGGTGCATGATACCTCCATTCATGTATATGAAACCAAATCAATTTATTCCTCACGGGCATACCTCACACCAACAATAAGCCATGCATTGAGAACATCTTTCTTCAATACACACTTAAAACGCTTTGAAGTTAGTGTGAATAAAGGTAAAGAACAAATCGGTATTGATATATGATATAGGCGCATATGGCAAGGCTAAGGATTGTGCCACATGGCATCGGCCAGACAAAATCCTAGTCATCCAATCCCAACAACCTCCAACCACTCCAAGGCAAGGTCAAGTATAAATAGGGGTGCCCAGCTCCAGTAAAGCCATCTTTTCTCCTTATTGCTCTCTAGCTCTCATACTCTTGAGTGACCTCGTCTCAAGCCTGGTTCAACCCCTTTGAAGTGCTTGACTAACTTGACCATCGGAGTCTCCGCCCCTAGGATAATACCCGGGGCCTCTGACGTACTCTCTTATTCTCAGGTTGGACACATCGGCCTCGACTAAGGAAGCAGATTTACCTTGTTGCCCTTGGCCCCATCC